TCATATCCAAAACCTTTAAAGTCGGGTTTTACAGTTAGATCTATTTTTTTGTTTCAAGCAGTTTCCCCTACTCTGCTAAAACAAGCAAACAATAAAGGAGGCCCAAGCTGGTGCATGCTGGTCCTGATGCCATTTGTATTTATAGTAGGGATGCACCGATCCACTTTTTTCACCTCTGATACGATACCAATATTTAAAGTTTAATGTCAGCTGATACCGATACCAAAAACAGCACTGAACTATTGCCTAAAAAACTGTTTTATTGCGTGAAAAAAAAAAACTGGGATCATTCTTCCGTTCATATTATTTGACTTCCCTTTTCTTAAAAAAAGAAAATAGGAAACAACCCAAATATAAATGTTATGACTCATTTATTTAAAAACTGTACACAAAATCTTAAACCAAAAGTTCTCTGACTTGGTCAACATGTGAAAAAAGTGTCAGTGCAAATTGGAATCTAAAATTCAATGTCAAATTCAATACAATAAAATAAATTATGAAGGAGCTAAAATTGAGAAAATAAAACAGCTTCAACGTGTTGATTTCTAGACAGTCAAAATAAAACACCCATCAGCTCTTTACAATGTTTAGTGCAAATGGAAATTAAACATCCATTATAACAGCGCCTGAATAAACCAAAAGATTATCCAGCTTGGTCAAGTTGGTGGTGTTATGGTTTGAAGATTTAACATAGCATAGAGTTAGAATAAATAGATTGGCCCCTATATCGAGTCAATTGTCACCGATACATACAGATCTAGTTGTTTCTTTCTTTATATCTGGACCGATAAAAATATCGGATCGGTGCATCCCTAATTTATAGTAGAAATAACCCTTTTTAAAAGCTGATAAATAAAAAAAAAAACAGAGAAAAACGACAAATTTTGTACTTGTAATCCAATTTACCCTGCCCCAGTGATGAAAAAAAAAAAAAAAAAAAAAAAAAGGAAGTTAACTCAAAGAAACAAAGAACAAAACAAGAAGTCTGGAACTAGAAGCGTTTTTAAAACTTGGGATTCACTGTAGAGACACAAAAGATTCAAGCCTTTATTTAAAGTATAAAAGTAGCCTCTATATTTCTGTCCCAAGGCAAGGGAGGTGTAGCTGAGCAGATCTGATTACACGTCTAAATAACTGCGGCTGCACAGCTTTAAGGTGTGTTCCTCTCCAGTGTTATTCGATGATGGGATTTTTGCTCTGATGTGTGAGAAGATCATTGAGAGGAGCAGAAACAAACTCACCTGGTGGCATGTTATGAACAAGGCGGACCAGACAAAGATCCCAGACACGGCCTGAGCAGTCACTGTGTTCAGGAACATCTCACCCTCCACCAGGGACCCATTACTGTTCCGAATGATGGTGATGTTCTCCGGAAGAATTGGTTCATCCAGGTGAACGATCGAGTTATTTTCGGACGCTGAATCCATGTCCAAGCCGTTCATCTGTAAAAAACGGAGGAAAACAGAGAGGTCATCTCATATAAAACGGGTCTAATATTCAAATAAAAGAGCTAAAACACATATATTTATGCCAGAAGCGATAAATGCGACTATTAAAAATCTATTTAATCAATCAATTTAATTGAAGATCATAAAAAAAAAAATAAAAAAAAAAACACCGAGCCGTTAATGTCACCCGCTGATCTCTTTGCTGTCAACAAACGGCTCACCTTTTTTTCCGGGGCAGATTGGAAAGCAGCTTTATCCGTTTAGACAGCACTGATCGACCCAGATTGCTTTAAACGGTCAGCATCAAGAATAAAACTACTGTTTCTCTACAGCAAGAATAAAAAAACAAGCCTTTTCAGCTTCATAAACAAGCAGCCTGTAGTAGGACACTTCCTTGTTTCTGACAGGTGTCTCAACGAGGTCGAAGTCCACACAGTAGGAGATGAAAGACGCACTTTAACGCCGCACAGACAAATAAAACAAAAGCCGATATTTGTTAAATATACCTAAATACCGGTCTAAAAGTTTGCTAGAGGAATACTTATGATAAAACCTAAATGTGCGCGGCGGCTCCACTTAACTAAAGATATAAATAGGCTGGGCACAGGTGAAGAAATCACGTGGCTTCGACTCGGCTGGTGTCGTCATCACGTTGGGTCGCGAGCGTTTTTTTCCCCTCGTGATAAATGCGAAAACGTTTGGTTATCTTTACATTTATTATGTCACTAGAGTGAGTTAATCGTAATTATGGGTCAGCTTCCATCTCAGTTAAGGTTCTTGTGGTTTTCTCAGATTTCCATTACAGTTCAGCTATTGGGGAGTAAAAATAATGAATGATTATTAATCACACATTGGAGAAAATTACCTCAAACATTAGCAATTCTAGAGGTAGTTATAAAAGTGGTGTATACAAAATGAGGACTGAAACTGAAGTATTTCC